CGTCTCCCTCTTCTTCCCCCCCCCGACACACTCTTCTCAACGTCGACGGACGTCTGCACCTTCCAATCTCTCTCTCTTTCTCTCTCTCTCTCTCTCTCTCTCTCTCTCTCTCTCTCTCTCTCTCTCTCTCTCTCTCTCTCTAGTGGAACCGGACGTCTGCACCTGCCAATCTCTATCTCCCTCTCTCTCCCTCTCCCTCTCTCTTTCTCTTTGTCTCGCTCTCTCTCTCTGTATCGCTCTCTCTCTCGTCGAATCGAGCGCAGCGAGCTCGAACCGGACGTTTGCACCTGCCAATCTCTATCTCCCTCTCTCTCCCTCTCCCTCTCTCTCTCTCTCAGTCTCTCTCTCTCWTCTCTCTCTCTCTCTCTCGTCGAACCGAGCGCAGCAAGCTCGAACCGGACGTTTGCGCCTGCCCATCTCTATCTCCCTCTCTCTCCCTCTCCCTCCCTCTCCCTCTCCCTCTCTCTCTCTCTCTGTCTCGCTCTCTCTGTCTCTCGTCGAACCGAGCGTAGCGAGCACCACACCGTGAAGCGCATGCAAACATCAGAAAGCATCACCCCAATGCGCAGGCTGAACCGAAGCATCAGGAAGCAGCACCAGAACGCGTCGGCCAAACCGATGCCCACCGTTGGGATTGCCGCGTGGGCCCGGGTTGGACGTCCAGATAGAAGTTTCGGGAAGAAACTTCTATCCGGCCGTCCTACCCGGGCCCGCGCGGCAATCGCAACGGCCGTCACCGGTTCGGCCCACCCCGACGATCTCACGCGGTATCTGTCGGGCCCACCTGCCGGTCCCACCGCGTTTCCCAACACTGGCGAGCGGGCTCTTGCGGGAGCGTTACCCGAGACCCGCTATTTGCTTAATCGCTTAAAGATGTTAAGGAAATAAATAATGGCGTCAACATCACAGCTTTTGCGGCCACTGCATAGCCACTTGCAGATGACCACTCCTGCAAATACTGCATTTAGACTGTACACATGCGACGACTATGCAAAATGCATCTGACCTAAACGACAGCCAGGTTCTGTTGAAAAAATGTCCTCGTGTACTGCACGGCAAACCGCAGATGACCACTCCTGCAAATAATACTTGAGCCTATTCGCAGATGAAAACTATTCCGCTGAGTGCAGCTGACCTGAACAACAACATGATTATGTTCAAAATGTACTCATGCAAGTATGCTTTGGGCTACCACAATGAAAGGGCCCTGTTACAAGAGAGCGAACATGTCGTCTTCACCCGAATACAACGCCTGGTGATTGTAGCTGCATTTGAGCCAAGTTGTGGTCCAGATACAGTGATAATGATCGGGCGTTCTATTCGGGTGAAGACGGTAGTAACCGCACCACGCCCTCACCTGGCGAACTTAAAACCTCATAAATCAGCCCGATTTAGGTGGAAATTTCAAGCTCTTGAGGGTCCGATGTCGTTAAAACATCGGACCTCTGTTGGACTTAGCTAGAGTTCAAGGGGTATGACATTCTAAAAACGCCATACGCCCTGGATGTATCTGGACTTAGCTTGGATCGAGGGGTAGGGCGTTGTTGCCTTTTGCAAGTCGCGCCCGACGCGTCCTCGTCCGTAGTTGATGGCGTGGGCATGGGGAAAGGTTGAGACCTTGGCCGGATGAGTGGCGTGCTGGTGTGTCGACAACAAAGAGCAGCCTTCCGAGGCCTACGTGTGCGTGGCGTCAAGGCCAGCGACAACGGCCAATTCTTCTGTTTCTTTCTCCTTCTTTTTTTTTTTTTTTTTTGGGGGGGGGGGGGAGAAGGGAGGCCTCGGAMAAWAAAAMWGMWMAAAGGGRGGGSCRWAAAAAAAAAAAAAAAGGTTCGATGTGAGTCAGCAAATCTTAACTCGGAGAAGAAAAAATAGTTACTGCAAAGAAAATTGTGGTGGACAACATAGGAGTTGCCATCGCTGTTTACGACACGACTCCTTTGCAGACCTGCAATTGTGAACACAATCGCCTCTCTTTACGTACTCCTACGGACGCTTACGTCTTTTCCGATGTCCGCTGATATTTTCGCTCGTGCAGTGGGTGTTTCTATCCATGTCATCTGCACATTAACTTCCATGTTTATAACTCTATGACAACGAGTTGTCATGAGGTGTGTGGATCCGCCTTCATTTTTTTTATTTTTTTTTCCGACAAAGGTCACTCCGCTTTGATGGTTTCGGGTGTATAGTCCACACCCTCGAAATAAAATGACAGGTGGACCCCATCAAACGACCTACACCAATGATCCACCACGGTAGTCTAGGCAGCATATTTACCATATGCGCAACCCAGGCATATGGCAAAATCATTCCACGAATACACCCATTGTCAACTAACTTGACACGTTCCACGGCACGTTGGCGTGGCCACCGTACCAAAAATAACAGCGACCGAAACCTATTCATGAATCGCTTTAATGTGTTTGTGTTTTTTATTTTGTTTTCTCGGGACCCAAGTCTCGACACTCGCCCACTGGAAATACACATCTCTTAACGGAGTTGACAATGTCCCCATTGCCTTTCACATTGCACAAACAAATTTCTTTCCTCTCTATTCGTGCAAACATATGCATATGACAGACTGAATCACGTGTTGTCCACAGTAACGAAAAGAACTCATCACCCGACATTGCATCTGAAAAAGCACAACATTACGGGTCACTACTGTCGGTCATCTTTCTCCCAACAACCGTCGTTTGACAGCGAGGGGCCATGCACTTGTAAACTCCCTTGTCAGGGATAGAGCACCAAAATTCAAGTGCAACATGTGTTGGAAACATGTTGAAAAGTCCTTCGGGACATCCGTTAAAATTGGAACGATACAGAGAAGATTAGCATGGCCCCTGCGCAAGGATGACACACATAAATCGATAAATGGTTCAAATTTATAAAAAAAAAAAAAAAAAAAAAAAAGTTGAAAATATGTTGATCACGTGTTGAAAACATGTCGGCCTCACATTGGCAAACGGTTGGAAACATGTGTCTGCCCCCTCTGAAACGATTCAGCGCACCAATTCAGCCCTTAAAGTTTATAGTATGTTGGTTTCAACTTTTGTGTAAGTTGAAACCAAGATGAAAATTCCCCATAATTTTTATGTTGTCATCATCGACGATGACTGAACACATTCCAAAAGAAGAAGAGGGAGTGGCGACCCCGCCGAAAATCTAAAACCGCACCATGAACCTCGCCACACCCCTCGTGCCCCCATACGACCCACCCACCCTAACCCCACCAAACACACATATACATACACACACACCGGGTAGCGCAGACGCCACACTGGCGAAAACTGAAATGAACATTGCGACGTTATGTGAGGCGAAACTGCAGAAGTCTACCACATTGTGATCATGGCATTATCACCACAACTGCGCACAATCGATGACACTCGTCGTATTATGCGTATCGACCCGCGAGGAACCGAGGCACTCCAAACGTGGACGGCAACGTACTACCATGAAATGGATTATTCACGAAGTGCGGAAGGCGCAATCTCGCCAAGCAGGGTGGCGCATCATGTGTGTTTCATGCGCTCCGCCAACTCATTTGCGCAACTCCTATGGCTCGTTCGTCGACGTCGTCATGGCCATTGGGCACCCCGTTGTCGTCGACTTCCCACAACAAAATGTCGTGAACTCGATGCCAACATGAAGAAGAATGTAGGATGCAGACAAACCATGAACTACTGCGGTAGAGTGTCAAGGTTCGTCTTGTGCGTCCGCAGGAACAACCTCCACATCCCCGTCAACTTCCCGAGCGCCCTCTCCACAACCCCTCTGGCTTCGTTTTGCTTATTGTCGAAAAACGCCTCGATGGGGGGCTGATCGATCCTTCCATACGACACCACCACCTATTTTGAAGAAGGATATCCGTTGCCACCCAAGATGTATCCATTCGTCCTCACCTTGACTGGCAACACAACAGACATCCCATGAAACAACAACTCCTTTTTTGCGCACCTCCATAAACTTAACAACTGGATGACCCTGATGCCGTGGGAACTCCTTGGATATCCGATGAACACATCCAGCACATACAAATCGAGGTCGACCACCACCAACGCAATGACGGAAAACTGATTCTTGCGATTGAAGTAGTTCTCGTTGGGAACGTTTACATGTTATCCACGTAGATGT